ATTTCAGACTGAACACAACTGATTTACACTATTTTCAGACATTGATCTTTTCGTTTGGGAACTTTGGATCTTTCAAGTTAGGAGAAGAAGGAGCTAACGTTGCCGAACTACTAGAATTAGCTGGTTTGGAAAGTGAAAAACTAAGTGAGCTGTTTGTCCGATCTTTTATGCTTATCTAGACTAATTTAAGCATTTATAGATGAAGCATTGCAACTTTTGGAGGAACAGGCTGCTATGTTGAATGATTATTTTTCTCTGCAAATAGCTCGACCGCTAGGTGCACAATCGGGTGACGATGGTTTGAGAGAACTGACATTGCTCACCGTTCCTTCTGTCATTGATGGTTATATGCCACAAATGGAAGGATTACCAAATCTGATGCTAGCTCTTGTCAAAAACGTGAATTGGGAGGAGGTAAGCCTTTTCGGTGTTTTTCCAAATTTTAATTATGTTTCATGCAGGAGGAAGCATGTTTTCATGATGTCAGCCGTGCACTTGCTGAATTTTTTGTCATGAAGGAGGAATTTTGCCAGGATGAGGCTTTGTCAGGTATTAAAATATGTCCATCGCAATTAGGCTGGCTTATTAGAGTTGCGGCTAATTTTTTGCAGGCCTAGAAGGAGGCAAAGTATTATGGGTGTTCCTTGTCCGAGATGTACTTATCCCACGGGTAAAATCGCATCTGGTACCTTCAGATACCCTCAGAGATGGTATCAAACGTCTGGCGGATTTGCATGATCTCTACAAAGTGTTTGAGCGTTGTTGATACATACTTTTGAGAGTCTACATCCTGCCTACATTGTCATATAAGCATTGTCTGTTGAATGTTGTTCAATCGGGTCAAATAAATTTCTCAATATAAGATGTTGTTATTTTAGAGTTTTGTATCCGACTGCTGCTCATTATCAAATTATAGGAACAGATAATGATCCGATTTGCCTTGAAAACTATAAGATAAAAATATTTTTGGACTCAGGAAACAACGTGAACACCGAATTTTTGTACATCAGTACAGCTTATTAGGATTTGTTTCTATCACTTTTACGGTAAAAACTGTAGTTTGTGAAGGACGAAATAATCATACTTTCATCGAACGGTTAAGTATAGGGCATTCGGAAAACCATGACGATGGCGTGATCGCGCTCGACACGCACGCACTTCTGACAATTGC